TATATATATATAGATGTTAAGCCTCAATGATAACTACGTAGTGTATACAGTATCTTCAAAGGATAAAGAGCACAGAGTGACTGAGAATCCTGTAAGTAGCCCTTAGTCACTTATTACCTCTTCAATCGCAGAGACACAGATTGTATGTCTGGAGCCATACAAACTATATCAGGAACTCGTACAGCTGAAAAATAACCTTTTTTCCCTGGAGATTATGCAGATCAGTTTTTTCATGTAATTTTTTTCATGGCAATGCAAACAGTTTTGTCAGCACAGTGGGATGACAGAGTGAGGCTGGGAATGAGTACGCAGGAGCACAGTGTGAAGTACGTTGACTGCTTTACTTGGTGATGTTGCTGAAGAAAATCTTCTGAAACCTCAGTGCAAGGAAGCTGTACAGTAACGTCTGTCCTGTTTCTTAAGACATATTTTGAAGCTCTTTAGATAAGCACATTAGAATGTTTCATTAGTGTTTATTTACAGTGTTTTTTCACATATATTTAGCTTTGACATACCATTTTCTTTAGTTTTTAATATAGGTCTTATACAGATGGTTTCAAAATTAACCTCAGAAATTATGTTCTTTGCTTTAGGGAAGGACCCTGTGAACCTAGATGATTTGCCTACACTCAGATTGTTGGTAATCTGGAACTGTGTATTCAGTAGATACCGTTTGGAATGGCAGGACTCAGTCTCACTAGTGAAATGTGATTCTAAACTTTAATCCAGCACAGGGGCAATTTAGAAAATGCTAATTATTAGTTTCACTGGAAAGGAGGGCAATATCCACATAGATAGTTTATTCAGAATGTAGTACTGATTTGTGAGTTTGCTCTCTGTGTGTGTCTTTACTCCGGTTATGGAATTCTTACAATTTAGAAGAGTTGCTATTTGTGCTTTACTTTCTTGAGAAGTTTTGCAACATGAACAGGGAGGAGATAAGACCTTGGATTTATTCATGGTGTTGTCCTGTCTTGCTCCTAAAGACTTATAGTTCTAGCATCAAATTTTTAAAGCTGATTAATGATGTACATCTATAGTAATTCTAGGAAACTATACATTTCTATCAGCTAAGGATGTATTGTTCATGTTTGTTATTGTTTTTTCTTTTAATACAGTATAGTGCATGAAAGCCTAACTTTAAGCCCAAATTTGTGCTTTTCTGGCTTGAGACTTACACTTAAATTTAGGGATTCTTGCAAAAAGAAACTGGTTTCTGTGTTATAAGCAAATGAAGAACTTCAGCCAAGTTACCTGTTTTTTCAGAACGAACCTTAGTTGGTATCAGAGTAGTATTTGTGTTGCCGCTTAAGCACTTAAACATTGCTCGAGGAGTTAAGTCCTATCTTAACAAATTATACATACATACATAGACACATTCTTTTTTTCTCTTATCTCTTCCTACTCAACTGTTTGAGGCTACTTCTTCCTAGAGGCTTTCAAATTTCATGTGAAATGCATAAAAACTCAAATCAAACTTGGAAGTCCGGTTACTCCACTCATTCAGCTTAGTAACTTGTGGAGTAAGTCTCTCTGACTGGATGCGTGTATGTATGTATGTGATGAGAACTGCATTCCCTTCTGCACTCTTAAAAATAAATTTTTAAGATGTGACAAAAGTATTTTTAATACATTAAAAACTGGCCTCTCTGGGTTCTTGATTGTTGGAGATAATTTAATGTTAGTGCTACTTCCTTAGTGCTCACAACTGAGCTTACTGAAACTTATTGTTTTACAGTGAGTTACCACTGAAAGGCTGATACTTGCTTTATTCCAGAAGTGGAAGAGCAAATTTTTCCATTAAATAATAAGCTAAAATTTCTCTTTATTCAGTTGTCTTATCTTCATTGACTTAAACAATGATATTATGGAATGGCACAGAGATAAAGTTCTAACATGTTTGCTGTAGATAGCTTGACCTTTTTGTCCAAAGCCTCAGTAGTATTTTAGCTTATCTTCTTAATGGACCCAAAAAATTAAAACTCTGTGTGTGAGCTAGCACATCAGTAATCTGCAAATAGGAGGCTTACTACCTCCTCCACCACAAAACACATGCTAAAGGATCTTGCTGTCTCTTTACCTTTGCAAGCTTACAATAAAAATTATTCTGTGCAAATATATAATAGCTACAGAAAGTGTTTCTGCTGGTTTTGTACTCATTTAGAAATAAAGTTGATGAAGAATTTTGGGAATAGGTCAGGGAATAGTGAGTGAGTTCTATAGCTTCCTACAAGAGAAGTGGAGCAGCAGTTACTTTGGTTTAAAAAAATATATAAATGCAGTTAGCTTTTTTCCAGAGAGGGTGAGGGAAGGTAGAAGGAGATTAAAGATGGGAAAGGATGATGCAACACCTTAGTAACATTGTCTCTTCTCTTCATTATTTTGTCTGCATTTCAACAGATGAATTGTTCCTTTTTTTTTCTTAGATTTTTTCCATTTTATCCAGCTCTCCCTAGCCATTTTTTTGTGTTCTGGTCACCTTTGTATATGTGGAATGCCTTGTCTTAGGAGGAGTGTGAGGCGACTATCCAAATTCTCCCTATTTGTTCAATGTACATATTAAAGAGGAATTTTATCTTCTGCGATGTACTCCAAGCTCTCACAGAATGCCTCATTCCTTAAAGAGAACGACATATTCCCTCATAGGAGCACCAGATCAATTGGACAGATTCATGATAGTTTTATGGCTTATGTCCAGTGTTGTACTTTTAATAAAAATAAAAAAAGCTGGGAACTTGATTTATAACACTTCCCCCATACCCCAAGTGTTCTGTGAATCTAACAGACAAAATCTAATAAATACAAGACAGCCATTGCTTTTCTAGTTTTTTTCCCATGTTATTTACTTTGAGAATACAGAAGTTTAAGTGAAGGCTTAAAGTAGTCTCTACTGATAAGGTAGCAAGCTGCTATTCCTTTTCATTCCTTCATTGACTGCACTTTCTAATTTGTAAGTGTAATCATCCAAACACTTGCTTTGAGAAAGCCTTTTCTGGCAACAGATACTCTTGTTGCTACATCTATTGACTAGGTAAGGGCATGATGTCTGGAGAATGTTATGGAAGACTATTCATCAGTGTTAGTAGTCTTAGGAATAGTAATTCCTAAGACTAATAATTGTGATTTGAAAACAGGCTTAATTAGTGTGTTTGTAAGATATATTGAAACATGTTGCCAGGGGTGTTACTGGATAGTATGGACAAGGGTAAATCACCTTCTATTTAGTATAGAGTTGTTAGTAAGCAGAGTGTATCTAAAACAACAACAAATATCTGTCTCCAGAGTACTAAACAGCATGTTTGTTTGCAGCTTCAGGAAATGACATACTTGCCTTGAATTAATAACATTTAAAGGAACTTTTAGTATCCCTCTTTTTTGTTAAGATAAAATAGAGAAGTTTCTCATTACATTTGAGGCTGCTTGTTCTTCTATTGCCAAAGTTGCTGTGAAGTTTTAGTTTTAAACATTTCTCCTTTTTCAGTAGTTCATGATATAATTTTCTTTCAGACACTGTTTCTTTTGTAACAATTTTAGGAAAGGATAATGGGTATTACTGAGAAGATGAAATAGTTACAAATATTGCATCAAATGTTAATATTATTAGTTTATGGTCATCTTAGTAAAACTAAAATATGGGTTGAGAGGGATAAGCAGGATTTAGACTGGGAAAAATTTGAGAGAATCATTAATTTAATACATGTATTTGTTTCATATATAGATCTAAGAAAGCAAAAAACTCAATAGATAAATCTACTGAGACTGATAATGGCTATGTGTCCCTTGATGGGAAGAAGACAGGTAAAAGCAGTGAAGAATGTATGCAGGCCCATGAACGTCGATGTGAAGTGATTAAGCCTGAAGAGTCAGGGTGGAGCGCTGCAACAGTGAGAGATACCTTCAACAGTCACAGTCATCACAAAGTAAGTGTGCTTCATTTCTTTCAAAGCAGGATTATTAATTTGTCAAATGATATGTGAGGTGTGTTTTTATGATGTTTTTGATGCATTCTTGTCTAATTTATCCTGGAAAATGTTTTAAAAATGAAATCAGGCTGAGAGTCCTGAGGCCAAAAGTGATGTTAAGACTTCTTATTCCATCTTTATATTCCTAGCTTTCCTTTGTAGGAGGATCTTTACTGACATCTAAACACTCTCTGCCATTCCGTATTCCAGTGCACAAATTTGTGTGTTGTGTTTTATCTGTGGGTTTTTCCAGACCAGCTAAACAGACTGTACCTTTTCCTGCTTCTTTGGTACTCTGGGCACAGGTCTGTCTCTGTGCTAAAATGGAACAAATGTTGCATTACTGACAGTGTGTAATTTTGAGGTCATTCTGAGCATTTGCCTGTGAATCAACTTCCTTTTCTTTTTTTTTTTTTTTAATTGATCTCTTTAGAAGATAAAGAAAACATGATTTCCTTCTCAAATAAGTAGGCAGGACTCTCAATAGTGAGGAATAGGGATGAGATGGAAGCGTAGGAAGTGGTCATGAAAGAAAGCAGAACTTTTTAATTTGTCTGGGTGAGATTATCTCCTGCATCTCCTGTTTTCATCTTACTGTTCTATGGAATAGCTTTTCCAAAATGTTTTTCCTGGCTTGCTTATCATTGGCATTTGAACATATGTTGACTACTGCTACAGGTCTTATGTTTGACTCTGTCTCACTAGTGTTTACCATCAATGATCAAACATAGCAAGGGTTTTTCCATTATAATATCAAAGGGAAAGATTATTCTCCTGGAAGTCTACAAGTGCACAGTTTTATAAAAGCATTCTTTGTGGATTTCATAACCAAATTATTTGTCAATCCCTTAAAGATCCATATGATTAAGTCAGAATGAAGGTGATAAAGTTTTGTCTCAGGGCAAAAACTTCACTCTGTTGCTCTGCAGGAGGTGCTTTCTCAGCAGTGATAGCAACAGAGGTTCAGTTGTCTTTATCAATTCCAAGCATTTTGCATTCTTGATCAAGTTCAACAAATCAAGGATTTTTAAGAAAAAGTAATTTTAAAGAGTTTTAAGTTTAATTGATAGAATGGATGAGATATTGTCTGTGGTTTAACTTGCTTGGTGAGTACACACCCACATTAAAGAGTAGTTGACAGAGGCTAGAATAGGCTCCTCTCTCCTCCTTCTCATCTCTTCTTACAAAGACAATCAATACATTTTAGTGCCACTGCAAAAGGTAGCAGATAAGACATCCCAGACTGTTCTGCCTGTCCCTCTTTCCTTATGCAACACAGCTGTTAAAAAAGTGAAATGACCTCACCTTGAAGCATCTCAGAAAACAGTTCATCATGGAAGAGAGAATGATGTCTGGGTTGTGGGCAGAAAGGATTTGTTGTGTTTATAGATAATAACTTCACTGTTTTTTGTCCTTTTAGCATTTTATTGATGACAGGAAAACTCCAAAGGAAACTTTACAGGGTCCTACCTAGTGATCTCCTAATAAATGAGAGTGTACAAAAAAAGTTTTCGACAGCTGAATGATCCTTTATTGCCTTTTTTTTTTCTTTCTGTTACTGTAAGGACTACTTTAATTTTAGTTTAAAATGAGGGAAGAGGAAAGTGGAATAAATTAATGATCTGACTATTCTACATGCAATCTGTAGCACTTTACTGTTGGAAGAAGAGGTAAATGTTAACTTTTTACTGTATGTGTTGATAACTCAGTCTTAGAGTGTCTGCTATCACAGTTTTGGTGGTTTGTTTTGTTTTCAAATCTTCTGAATTTGTCTCTAAGCCTTTCTTGGTAGGTTTGGTTTAGGCAAAATATCTTTAAAAATAAGATGTCAGAATTGTTCTTTAGTATAATATGAACTATCCCTTCAAGATCCGATAAATGTTTACTTTGATATCAA